CATTCTATTTTTTCTTGCTCGAGGATTTTTTCAAAAGTCGTGGCCTCTCTAAGATGAGACGAAGGAGGAGAGTCCTCGAGAAGAATATAATAGGTATTCTTCCCAGTCTTCTCGATCGAGAGAGGTTCGTGCAAACATTTGTGCAACCATTCACTAAAATGAACGAGAATCCCTTTTGTCTTCTCAAGACGATCCATAATCCTATTCATTTGCGAGACGGTTAGAAAGTGGGACGTGTAAAAATATTTGGCTCGTTTCATTAACAAAATTTGTGCATCCAAAGGTGGAATGTCACGAGCCATCAACACGTTTTCGTCGGACAAAAATTCGTCCCGCATCTTTTGATAACTCCCCACGGTATGAATAACCCGCACATTTTGAAAAATCGGAGGCTTTCAGGTAAACGACTCCTTGGATGATATAAAAGGAAAGATCAACATATTTATATTTGAAAGGAATACACGTAGTGAGCTGGGGATGCCTCCTCATGATCCACTTGGACAAAAATACGACTTTGGGGCTCTCCCCTTTTATTTATAGAGAGAAAGAGAGTGTGACCTTCCCTTCCCTCCTCCTCTCTCCCTGCTTCCTCTATCTCTGGACGTCCTTGGATTGGAAAGGGTGACTTTGAAAAAAAAAAGAAGGTCATGGTTGGATAATTTTTTGTTTATTAAATTATTACTTTCACTTCCTCATTCCCACACACATTCATCTTTTTAAGAAAAGAAAAAGAGGTCATGGAGATAAGATTTCTTGGAAAGAAGAGAGAGAGAAACAAAAAAAAAACAAATAAAACGGACGTCATAGAGCCTCTATGTGTGTCTGTGTGTGTCTATATAGATATATAAAAAGACGAGAGTACTGGGCGAGATCATTTCTTTTCCATTGGGAGCCATGTCGCTATTAGACGTTTTTCCAACTCAACGGATTTCGAACGGGGAGGATTTGAAGACGCTAAAGCAAATCTCCAACTTGAAAATTTTTTTGGCGTGTCATTGTGCGACATTTATTCCGCATTTACCACCTCATCAAGCGATCGTTTCTTTCAACCAAGATGTCGAATCCTCCAACCTGCTCGTTCAGAATATATACAGAAATTTATTCGAATCGCAACAAACGAAAGAGGAATCTCCCTTCTCTTGGAATCGGATGGATCGAGCTTTGAGACGGCCCATTCAAACAGACCGGCGATATACGGATCCGCGCACGAGTTTTCGGTGGAAGAATATTTTTCTCACGAAACGATATTTTACGTTTGGAGTGAGAACGACGGCTGAGGACGAAGTTCATATTGTTCAAACCACAGCCGCGCTCCTCTCGCCTATTACGAATCATCGTCCCCCAATCTGAAGGAAAGAAGTTTTAAAGTCAGCGACAGGATGAAATATAAGAAATATATTCTAAGACCTTTTCAAAACTATGTCGTTCCCCCGAAAACGCAATATCTCATCGTCACAACCCAGAAGAGTCTCTTTCTCGTCGATCGGTGCTCGTACTCGCTTTGGAAACAATTGAAAGAGGAGATTTCTTTCCAATCGCCGATGGTGTTTCAAGAAAAAGAAGAAGAAGAAAACCCTCCGCCACCTTTACCCATCCCTTCCTTAGATGATAAGAGGAGCTGGACCAAACCGTCATGGCCCGAAACAAAATCGACCCGGCAACGGAATGAAATTGAAGTCATCACAATTGAAGATGAGGAGGAAGAAAAAAAATTACCTCTTAAAAAACGGTCGACTTACCGGAACCTACCTGGCGTGCAAGATCCGCTTCAGAATCCAGAAGCTTCTTCTTCTTCTTCTTCCCCGACTTGTTCAAACAGGCAACCTCTTTCGGACTCCTCACAGACAGAACCTCTTCCAGTATCCTCTTCTTCTTCTTCTCTTCTTCTCCTCCAACCTGTCCCGACATCGTAGAGGTAGAATGTCAGCCGGGTCCACAAGTTCCAACGGGTCCAGAAATCATGGAGGCAGAATCACAGCCGGGTTCACAAGTTCCAACGGGTCCAGAAATCGTAGGAGGTAGAATTTCAGCCGGGTAAACAAGTTCCAACGGGTCCAGAAATCATGGAGGTAGAATCGCAGCCGGGTCCAGACATCCTAGATCCCTCCACTCATCCCAAAGAGACTCCAAGTGTTTCAAGACAGCCTTGTGAGGATCCAGCCCTTCCCGTATGGAATGATTATATGGACTTACAAAATTTGGTGCAACAGGAAGGAGAAGAAAATAATCATACGGATGGGTGGGTCAAAGACTGTTTAGATCATTTAACCTCGAATGAAATTGAACTGTTATGGAATTGCATTTCTGAAATCACATCGGAAATGGGATAAAAACCAAAACAAAAAAAAAAACAATTTTTTTAATAACAAATTGGAGGAGGGTCATGATGTCAATTAAAAAAAAAATATTATATAGAGTCCAATCTTGGTGGTTCACTTCAGTTTTCCAGCATGAGGTGATCCACGTTTCCCGAAATATGGATCCCATTCCAAGAGAGATTGTGTAGAGCCTTCACTTCAGTTCTTTTTTTTCTTACCAAGAGGAGAGGGTCCCCAAAGGGCTACCCATGTCCAAAGAGAGAAAGTGTAGAGCGTTCATTTCAGTTTTTTTTCCAAGTTTAGGGGAGGGAGGTCTCAAAATGACACCCCCCATTTTCAAAGAGAGATGGTGTGTAGAGCGTTCATTTCTGTTTTTTTCCAAAGTTAGGGAGTTTTCAAATGGCTACCCATTTCAGAGAAAGAGAGAGAGAGAGAGAAGGTGTAGAGCGTTCATTTCAGTTTTCCAAGGTTAGGATGGTGGTGGAGAATCCTCCAAAATGGCTACTCATCTCAAAGAGAGAGAGAGAGAGAGAAAAATGCGTAGAGCGTTCATTTCAGTTTTCCAACATTAGAAGGTCCCAAAATACCTTCTGAATTCAAAGAGAGATCGTGTAGAGCGTTCATTTCCAGTTCTCCAAGATCAGAAGAAGAGGGTCCGCTTTTCCCAAAAGGGCTTTCCGCATTCAGAGACAGCGAAGTGCAGACTTCAGTTTTCTCCCTCCCCAAGAATAGAGGGTCCCAAAATGGCTTCCCATTTCAAAGAGAGAGGGAGAGGCGTTCATTTCCATTCTCCAAGATAGGGTCGTCTGCTTTTTCCCAAAATGGCTTCCCAATTCAAAGAGAGAGAGAGAGAGAGAGAAAAAGGGTGTGTAGAGCGGTCATGTTCATTCTCCAAGATAGGGTCGTCAGCTTTTTCTCAAAATGGCATCTCCCCATTCAAAAAGAGATCGTAACCAATTTTTTCCAGTTTTTTCCAAGATGGGGGGGGGGAGAAGAAAACCTAGGATGGAATAACACGACACACAGAGAGAAAGAGAAAAAAAAACGCCATCTTGTCATTTTCTGATAGGGTACCGGTGTTCGAATACTTTTGTGAAATTAAAAGCCATTTTAATAGGATCGAACGAGAAAATTTTTTGGAAATCCAGAAGGCAGGAGAGGCTTGACTGCATAATAATTTGGCTTTAGTTTGTGACACAATTTGAATTTCTCCTCAATCTCTATTTAAAAAACCTCTTTAAATAATATCAAAATTTAAAACAGTTTACATCTTCTTAAAACAAATCCATCTATCTAAAAAGCGGTTTCTCAGTAACTTGAGGCAGAGCGCGAAATGAGACAGCTGATTAAAACAAACTGCACATTTTTGAAAAGAACCAACTTAGATTTATAGTAGAGTTCCAGTTTAGAGTCCATAGCAGAGTTTTCAATCTATATGCATTTCGTCGAAACTGAGAACGCATATTTTTCCACAGAATATAAAATATTCGCCTCTTTCCTTCTTTAGAGTAAGAAACATTACTTTGAATTCTTGGACTACACTAAAAATTTAGCAAACACTAAAAAATAAAAATAAACACCATTTCTTTAATTTGATAATACTAGATAAAGATATTCTAATTTTTTTTCTTTCCAAAAATCATAGCTTTAAGATGACAGAGCTCTTATGACAATGCAATGTAAAATATTTTCACTAGTCCACCTTGATTTTTTCCTTCTTTTTCAACAATGCATTAATCTGCGTCTTTATATAAGAATAAAAGGCTTTAGACATTTTTCCAAATTCTCTGATTTATGCTCCCCCCCCAAATTTCGCTATTTGAGATTTTAATTTCTGATACCAATTTCTGTCTTAGATGTCGTCCACCTTCTTTGTCGCTGAACAAACATTCTAAAATTTTTCTTTTCTCTATTTTTTCAATACTTTAATACAATTTAATACAATTTTCTAAGGATATTATTTTGTTCTTTCAAATTATCAATGCATTCTTGTTTATCCTTAAACTTAGGGCATTCAGGAAATACCTATATTTTCATTTGTGAGTTTTATTTCAAAATCATTAAAATTTGATTTACTATTGTCATCATCAATTTCGATTTATTATTGTCATCACAATTTACTTTCGGCACAGCATTCCATTTCAACAGTTTCTTTTTGTGGCTATCCAAACAAGCGATTTTTCATATCATCTTCATAAACACTGCATAGAAAATGTTCGCTGCAGATTTTCCCGCTCTTCATATTAATAGAATCTTCTCTTTGACATTTGTGTATCCATTCTTTCGTCAAAAGCAAACTCTCATTTGGATCCTTTGGTCCCATGAAATAAAATATCTCATCCTTTCATACTTCTGTAAGTGCTACGGCACGTTACTGCAGCGCAAAAAGCCATTTACGTAAACGATACTTTACAATATAGAATTTAAAATAAAAACTGACTAAAATTACATATGTATAAATTATTTTAAATATATACATTATTAGAAAACAGATATATATTATTATTAAAATTAATTTGGGACATGTAACCTCTAGAAAATCGTCTCGCAGCTCAGTGAAACTACTGTTTTAAACGCTTGAAATCAGGACAGGTGGCATCACAGTGATGTCAGATTATTGCCTGTTACGTCCCCCCATTAGGCTCGCGTCGGCGAGGAGTCGAACAAAGAAATGAGCTAGCCCTTCTACACTCCGTGCCCTTCTATTTATCCCTGGTTTTTTAACTGTTAACCGTGTTATTTTCACTGTCACGTAGCAGACGCGACAGCTGTTGTACTAGATTTCGATTTGTTTTATGTAAAATTTATGTAAAAAATGTCTTCAACCGAAGAAAAACTAAAAATGCGTATTGAAGAATTGGAAAAAGAAATTCAGCTGGAAAAAAGTAAAAATGAATGTAAAGGACGGGAAAAAATTCACGAAATTAGTGCGGAAGTTGTTGATTCTAATCCCTACAGTAGACTTATGGCTTTAAAAAGAATGGGTATCGTAAAAAATTATGAAACTATACGAAATTTTTCTGTTGCAGTTATTGGAGTAGGAGGCGTTGGTAGTGTTACTGCTGAAATGCTTACAAGATGTGGAATAGGTAAGCTTATTCTTTTCGATTATGACAAAGTTGAACTAGCGAATATGAACAGATTGTTTTTTCAGCCTCATCAAGCAGGACTTAGTAAAGTAGATGCCGCAGCCAAAACGCTGTTTTTAATTAATCCAGATGTGGAGTTTGAAACTCATAATTATAATATCACGAGTGTTAAAAATTTCAAACACTTTTTAGAGGTCCTTAAAACTGGAGGTAAAAATAGTGGTCCTGTTGATTTAGTTCTGAGTTGCGTAGACAACTTTGAAGCTAGAGTAGCCATTAATACTGCTTGTAATGAATTGAAACTATCGTGGTTTGAATCAGGTGTTAGTGAAAATGCAGTCTCTGGACATATACAGTTCATTATTCCTGGTGAAACAGCTTGCTTTGCTTGTGCTCCTCCACTGATTGTAGCTTCGAGCATTGATGAGAAGACTTTAAAAAAAGATGGGGTGTGTGCTGCCAGTTTGCCTACAACAATGGGAGTTGTAGCGGGATTTTTAGTTCAAAATGTTTTGAAATATTTATTGAAATTTGGAAAAGTATCATATTACTTAGGTTACAATGCCTTGGATGATTATTTTCCTACAATGACTCTTAAACCAAATCCAGACTGTGATGACCTGTTATGCCGAGAACGTCAAAAAGAATATAACAGTATTGAAAAGAAAAGTTTGGATGTTGAAAGTTATAAGGAACCTGAAGTTATTCATGAAGAAAATGAATGGGGTATATGTTTAGTATCTGGAACAGAGGAAGACAACAGTGCACAGGATGATGAAACAGTGGAAATAGTTAAAGGTGTTAAACATGCATATTCAAAACCTGTCATAGAAGATGATGATAGTAACTGTGTTGATGTAAATGAACAAAGTTTAGAAGATTTAATGGCTAAACTAAAGTGTATGTAACATAAAATGTTTAAGCATTAAATTTGAGCAAATTGCTACTTACAATTGTATTGAAAAATATTTATAGAAATATAAAATTACTATTATCAACATTAGGCTGAATTTGTTTTGTGTATGCAGGTAATATTTTAATGTAGTCTGTTAAAATGAATCAAAATTATTTTATTTATAGAAACTGCATAGTACTAATTCTTAGTTTAGAACATTACTTAGTTACTTTAGAACATTAAAGACAAAAAAGAAAAAGTGTTTTTTATGTGAAATCAAAACTAAAAATATTTCAACTCTTATGAATATTAAATGCAACATTAGTCTTTTTAAGTTATGTATTTTGTTAAGAAGTTGTCCATTTTTACAGAAAACTTATGAATATTTCAGCTTTGCATTTATTACATTCCAAGTACGTTTTATGAACATTTTTCTTAGTTTGATTTTCTATATGTGCATATTTTCCTTATCTAGTATGCTCAAATAGCTTCATGGTAGCTCACATAATACTATATTTCTTTTGAAAAAAAACTGAGTAGTAGGCAGAATTGTGAACCTTGGGATTTTGATTGGATTTTTACAAATATAGTGCCTAATTGGTTATAACACTTATATCAGCCTTTTTTTTTTTTTTTTTTTTTTTTTTTCAGCAATAGCAGATATAGCTAGTTTAAAGTAATCTGCATTCTGAGTTAATAAAGGATAGGCAAATTAGTGCAGCATTAGTGTGTGGAACATGAGAAGCCTTATATTTACAAATAGTACTTGGCTCGAGAGATCGATCATTTAAGAATAAAACATTTTCCATGCATCAGGATTTCTGATTACATATATCCCAGTGGTGTATGATTTTAATCTTATCCTGTATTTTACATATGTGTTGAGTGACTATTACTGTGTATTAAAGGTTTTACTAAACTAAACTAGAAGTCGCCCATTTTCAGAATATGCCAAGCTTCAGCAACCCTGCAATATTACTTCTGTTAGTTTTAATACCCATTTTCCTATGCATTTTTTTTTTTTTTTTTTGTTTATTCCAAGTTCTAACAAGTACAACAATTCTATTTATACACAAACCATAGTAATTTTTTTTCATAAACTTGACTTTAAAATCTGCACTTTTTGAAGTAATTGTAATAATATTTTAGCTAATCTTTGGAATATGGTAACAGGTAGTTTGGCGACATTTTGGTAAGGCGATAAAGGTTACTAGCTAGGACTTTAGCAGTGTACATGGATAAAGTCAAGAGTGTGCGCAGTGTCATTTTTGTGCAATTCTGGGATGTTGTTTTAAATAAAAAGAGGTCGACGTGTACATGGATACCGTGTATGTGCAATTCTTAAAAACGTGGAAAGCAATTTGCGATTCTGCACTTTCTCCCAATTTTGCACCTAATCTTCGTCATGATTAAGCACTTTTGTTCCATAAAAGTTCTAGCATAAGCGTAATTCGGCTAGCAGATTGTTGGAAAAAAATGTTGAGTTAAAAAAAAAAATGCCTTTACTTCATGAAAACAAAATGGCATCCAAACAAAAACTAGCAGGTTGCTCTAGCAGGGTTGGTCGCCAAATTTTCGCCAAAAATTCGTCAAGTTACCATAATCCAAAGATTAACCAAGGAGTACAGTACATTCTGTCACAAAATAACTTGCATTGCAACCTTTCTGAACACAATTCACTCAAAATTTTCACCAAAACAAAAGAAACAAAAAAAAAAAAAAAAAAAAAAAAAAAAAAAAAAAACTATTTGTAAGTACATTTATTGACTGATATTTTTAGATAAATGCCTAAATAAAATTTAAGGTGTGTATATGTCATAAATAATATTTTGGAACTTTAAATCATCAATCTTTTTCTCTTATTAAAATTGCAATAAGGTGGTTGCATTAATACTACAAATGTATCCAAAATTATAATGCAGTTGTTACAAAATATTTCATGAGAGATCATGTTTGATAGAGAGTGAAAACTTCTGAAGTTTTGTCATGTAATGTAATTACTGACATTTAATTATTTTTATTTTTTAAAAAAGGTTGTCATCATACGAGACATTTAATAACTTGTTTTCAATTCAAAGTTGTGAATAACGTATATTTTAGGCTACCCCTTGGTGAAACTTGGGGATTTTTGGCAGTACATGGATACTGAGTTTATGCAATTCTTTGTCTTATTATTTTGGCTTGCATAATGGCAATATTTTGCACCAAAAATCGCCGCTACACAAAGCCAAAATAACAAGACGAAGAATTGCACAAACTCGGTATCCATGTACACATCGACCTATTTTCACTTTAAAAAATCCAAGAATTGCATAAACTTGCATTGCGCACTCCCTTTGTTCATGTACACATCCATATATTTTCACTTAAAAAGTCAAAGGAGTGCCCATTTCTACAATACAGGCAAACAAAAAATACATAATCTCAATAAACTACATTTTAAACCAAACAATAAAATAATATAAAAAAGAAAAAACATATTATACATTTAAGTACTACAAAAAGAAAATATCCACTTACCCTATTTAGAAGTTCTCTCGTCTTTAGTCTGTGGCACACAAAATTCCTTAACAGCATCCAAAAACTTCCTAAAATTATCTGAACTCGAATCCATATATTGGCATCGCCACATCTGAACCTTTCTTCCTACAAATCCATCTAAACGGTTTTTACGTTCGACTAGACGTATATCCTTCCTACATACAGGACACATATAATGGCTACTAAGTAATCATTCATTTACACACCAGTTAATTAACGCTGTTTTCTCCTTTCGTTCCAAATCGTACAGAAACTTCAAATTAATCTTACTACATTCAGCCATTCTACCATCTAAACAATAAAACCAACACACACTACAAAACATCCCATGGTTAAAAATTTCTCAGAATCATTCATCCGATTATGTCGCAATAGGGTTTCCATACCACTCAACTACTCAGGCTACCATAAATGAAACAACAACTTTGCCATAATACAAGGGGTATCTTAAAGTTTACTCTATCCTTATTTCTTTAATTTCTAAGGTTAAAGTTGTTAATTTATGTTTTGAGTGCTTGCACTACTTTTAGATGAATAAAAATGCAGTAGTAGGTACAATAAATAGTCATCAAACAGAAGACCAGAAACCCTGTCTTGGGAATCATTACCTCTGAAAAATATCAATATTTCTAAGAATATAAAACATCAGTTTTGATATTTGTATTTTCTAGTAAGATTACTCCCTAACCTGACTGAAAACACCAAATATGTATTAAGACAACCATTATATTTTATATAGTAAATGATGAGTTACAATTTTAATTCTTACTGTAACAGCAAATAATTTTTACATAAAACAGCAGCTAATTTTATATGCCACCCAGACAGTATAGTGGTTAGAACAGCCTGACTAATACCGATGAGCCCGGGTTCGAATCCAGTAGAAGGCATGGATGTAAAATCGCCTGTCCCTTCATAGGAGGTAACAGTGGCCACCTATTAGGTGCCTATACAATAAAATGACCACCACTTCACCTTAGGAGTGACCAGTGCCATTATAGGCAAGTGTCCGCCATTGGGAGAAAATATATATAATGTCAGAAGTTTTTTCATTTCTGAGCATAATTTATCAGTCAAGTTTGATTCTCATGTCAAGACATAGGATGAAATGATTCTCTGTAGTCTTCCCCCCTTCCACCGTCAGTTGAAAAGTCATATTTATTTCTCAGTTAATTGCATATTCGCTTTGAAGACTGATTTCTAACTTTAGACCATTTCTCATGATCCATACTGGTATGTCCGGTATGATTAGTTTATTTATATTTAAAATGAAATTTTAAGAAATGCAGCTGTTCACTTTGCTTATTTTAAAGTACAAGTATATATTTTCTTGTAGTACTTGTATATATTTTCCATATGACAGTACTAATTTTTGTCTTACAGTTTTGTTGGTGCATTTGATTTTGTGATTGTTTTATAATGCAATAGTATCATGTTTTATTTCTTGTTAGATATGCTAAATAAATTAATTTTTAAAGAAAATAAAATTATTTTGAATTTTTATAAGTTACATATTTCTTTATTTTTTCCAGAATAAAAAATAAAGGGCATTTCATAGATCTAGTATTCTTTAACATTTGTACATTTTGTACTTTATGTGAATATTAAGATGGAAGCACAGTAGACTTTTAATTAACTAGGACAATGTCTGCAGTTAATACAAAATCACAGTTAAAGCAATAGTAACCAACAGCTAAAAAAGCAAAGGAAAGAGGAATAATTTGTATTATAATTAAGAGAAAAATAGTATTGTCAGTTTATTTGTATTTTTGAGTAGTTTAATTTGGAGTTAGTCATTTAATTATGTAAATTAAGTCATTTAATTAAATCAGCATTCAAAACAAAGAATTATTTTTACATCATTCATGTATTTTAATAGAGTTGGTGGGCAAACAGAAGATTAATGGCCGCCTACTTCAATTTTTTTTTATGATTTAGCAATTTGTTTTTAATGAATATTTAAATGATGTTGATATATATTCCAGATTGCATGCAAATAAATTACCAAGAGCTATAGATGAAATCAGTTCCTAAAGACTATAACTTAATTTGTTCTCACTGCTGTTATCTCACCCATTTCCAGCCAAAATTTTATTTTATTCTGATGGTTTGTGATAGTAATTTTTTTTTTTATTCCATATTTAAAAAAAAAAAAAAAAAAAAAAAAAAAATTCAATGTGTTTTAAGGCAAGACCGTTTAGTCTGCAAACCCTCTAATTGGGAGATAAGGGAATAAGGTATGAAAGTAAAACTTAACGATGATAAAAATATGAAAAATTTTTGAGTAGAATATTAAACATTAAAAGAGGGGAAAAAGTATTAGTTTAATAAAAAGATTAAAAAAATTATGTAACATTATTTAAAGGTAATTTAAGAAAGAAATTTTAAATTATTGATGATTTTAAAAATATTTTATAATGTATGAATTGATCAAATTAATGACTTGAAATGTACTATGTGAAATATAAAAAGAGACTTCCACCAGTAAATATGAAGTATCATATTTTACCATTACATTTTCAACTTACAAAAAAGCATCACAAATACTCTTTCCTGCCATTGGTACAGCCTACAGTGTAGTAAAAATCAGGTTTTGAGGGAGTGTTATGCTAAAAGTATAGCATCCCATGTCCTGGAACTATCATTCTCCGTATAATTTTTCTAAATTGTAATAATATTATTTATGGATTAGCTTTAAATATTTTTTTATGCAAATGCACTTAAAAACAAAGTTCTTACTCTTAAAATATAATTTCTCATGTGTAACATATTGGTCATCCCTATGACACGCCA